CCAAACGGACCAATCTAGGCTGTTTTTTGGGCGATGACCCATGAAAGTCCTGAAGGAGAGCCCGGGCTAAAAACATTCAAACGGACCAATCTAGGCTGTTTTTTGAGCGATGACCCATGAAAGTCCTGAAGGAGAGCCCGGGCTAAAAACAACCAAACGGGTCGATTTAGGCTGTTTTTGGGTAGGGCCCTGGCCCCAGACAGCCCAACCAAAAAGCAGCCTATTTTGACGAAGTAAGTTGTTTTTTGGGCCCGCCGTCTGGGCGAGCTGGGGTTTTGTGGGCCCCCTCGGAGAGAAAAAAAAGGCGCCCACGCACGAGCGCCCCAACGGTCGGACACACGCCCTCCGAACCCAAACGCCCAAGTTCAAGCCCGGCCTGGCCGCTTCTGGTCTTTTCTTTCCAGCATAGTGTGTGTTTGTGCGTGTGTGGTGCGCGGGATCAACCAGACAAGTCACTCCACCAACTAACAACGGCCATGCACCACCACCCATAGAATGAGCTATCAAACTGTCAATCCTATTACTATGTCTGTGATTCCGACGAAACGAAACGAAACGAACCGAACCGGACCCCGAACCGAATCGGTTCGAATCGAAACCAATTCCTAGGAAACCAATTCTTTAAATAAGGAACCGAACCGACTAACTGACGATCGAATCGAACCCACCCTGGTCCTTGTCCAACGCCGTTGCGTCAATAAAATCGCAGAGTTCCGCGTTCACACCGGCCTTTGGCAAGTGAACATTGTATCCCTGGACATTCTTGAAAAGAGATCTGAAAAAACAAGAAAAACATCGAAAAATAACCTTGCAAGAAAAGAAAGAGGCTTCAAAACAGAGGATGTTGGCCTCTGCCAACAGCTCATCCAAGCTCTCCTGAAGCTTTTCATCGATGTCCTCGAATTCAGGACCTTGCAATCCAAAAGGAGCTCTAGGCCACAGCATTTCTGACAGACATGAAGACAAGCAGCCATTGTAAGAGCTCACACTCTCCTTTTCCTGGCAACACTCAGCTTGTTATGCTCTGTTTGATGTGTGAAAGAGAGTGTGCCAATTAGCTCGAAACACGCAACTACTCAACTTGGCTTCAAAAACAAAGCAACACGGGAGCATCTGAGGAAATGTCCGCAACTGTTGCGCAAATACTCTCGGCAAGAAAGGGGGTTATATAGTGCTATCTTCTAAGAATAAAACAAACAAAAGGCTAAAGGGTCTTGCCTCCTTGCTGGCAAAGGATTTCACATTGCCAATGACCTGGCGATGTCAAAAGAAGCCATCGGCCCCGCAATGCAGCGTTGAGTATGGGAGATCAAGGATCATCAAGGCACATTGACACTGCTTTTGTGAAGCGTTCCTTGTTCCAAAGAATGAGGGCTCGGAATTGAATAGTATCGTTCGGGACAGCAATCACGAACAAGAAGAACACTTTCAATACGAGTCTTGAGTAGACTTCATCTTCAAGCCGTAGACAATTTCCAAACATGGGACTCTCATGAGACCGTGTAGATCTTGCCGAAGTGTCTTTACAAAACAGCGAACTGTGCATCTCCTGAGCAACACGCGTAGCGGTGGTCCTCACCGGTCTGTGTGCTGCAGTAGAAGGACACGCCAGCACCACCTGGATACGGCGCTGCACAATGGTCCAAACCCTTTGCCTGGAAACCGTTTCAGAGCAGAAGCAATGAATGCTGTATTTTTATTATATATAGAGATAGCATCATTAAATGCCAATTGAACGTATTTGCCCCCAATTCAGATGGGTCACTCTTGTTCTCCAAGGTGATGCAGAAGTCTGTGGCTTCCTCAGCAAAAGCATTGGGCATGGCGGGCATGGTTGATGTTGATCCTCACTGGAGCTCTCTGTCTCGGGCATATTCTTGGCCGCCCTCTTCACCCTCCACGTCAGCTGTTGGGTCGAAAGGGCTCGTAAGTTGCCATTCGACTTTGACCTTCAGGCTGCAGTGCACCACAAGTGGTGGAATGAAGCTGTTCGCTTGCCACAAGGAAAATCTATACTGCCCCTGAGATTCCAACCAACTTGCCATCAATCTCGCGTTCTAAGTGCATGTTCACATCTCCCTGCACACCATGTGTCTTTGGTCAAAGACCAGCATTGAAGAGACAAGACTTGTGATGAGACTCCGACACATGGAATGACAAATCCTCAATTACAATTTATTCAACCGTCTTGCACAAGCTGCATTCTTGACCTCAGCCTCCACCAATTTGAAGTCTGTCGAATCAATGAATTTCTTGATTTCCTCGGCCGAGTCTTCGAGGTCTTCTGTGTCTATGCTTTGAAGCATGCAATCTGGTTAAGCCTTGGCTTGCTGGTACTGCTCCTGGCAAAAAAGCCATAGGTCCCCGTCAATTCATTTCCAAGCGAGCTGTTTATATAATGACTCTTTGGCAATGTCTTGCTTGCTGCATCCATTTTTCTATGAAGCAATCTGAGAATTCCAAATACGTCTCGTGCTTACATACACAGTGAATGCACTCCTTCTCGTGGCTAATCTCTGCGGCTAGATCTTTGGCCTCGACACGCTTGATGCATCAGTGTCACGAGATTGGAAGGGCGGCTTTGGTATCACTGCAGGTATGGCTTAGGTCGCTACCACTTTGGCTGCGGAAGTCAATGAGAAACACCTGCTCTGGTCCATCTAGAGATTGGTTAAGTGCTGGTAATCCGCAGCCTCTGCTGAACTGGACAGAGAAGAGGTCGTAGAGCCTGTTGTCTCAAGCCTCGTGCTGGGCGACTAGGCCGCTACAAAGCCTTCAAACCACTGCAACGTCCCACCTGCTGTCTTGGGCGCCAAGTTCCCGCAGGCTCGCAAAACTCTGGGCAGCATCCTTACAACCGGATACAACCGGACCAGTGAGAAGATAATACCCTTGACCCTTCATGGAACTCTACCCGCCAAAGCACACATACAAAAAGAGAAAACAATGATATTCACGACTCGCATGAGCTCCCAGTGGGACTCTACGTGACCATATCCACAGCAATCCAAGGGACGTGCACAAATAGTGGTGTTCGTCTGTACTACCCTTGAGCAAAATTGCTTTGGAGGAGTGTTCCTCGAAAATGCCGCTCTGTCAAAGATCTTGCAAAGACACTTGCAGGTGTGCTTCCATTTTCGAGACGAGATGGGCATCTTCTGGCAAGCGCGCCAGCTGTAGAGGTTTCATGTCAGCCTGAAGCTGAAGACTTGAAAGCCGTAGCAGGCGTTCGAAAATGTCTGCACAGCTTGCGGACCAGTGTGTCTTTGCGTAGTTGTTCAGTTTTGATCTAGAATGGAACGTGTGGCTAGCAAGGATTGCTCCCACCTCTCAGGAGGATCACTCCATGAAAGACTTCCTCACAGTTGAGGTCAAGTACCCAACACAATGATTCCAAGCTATTTGTTTAGTAGGTTGGAGGCCATCGCGCTATGCTTCATGTTTTTCGAAAGGTAAAATAAATGTGTTGTCTGTCATCTCCAATGCCAAGTCTCACATTTTGGAGCCATCCTTACCCAGTTGGTCTGTCAACGGCAAACTTTGCACAAGTACAAGTAAAACAACCCCCTTCTGAAGGCAATCATGGCAAACATAGTCATGTCTACCGTCTGAATCTGAATTGGTTTCCTTTGTTTCCTAATTTCATCTAATTTCCAAGTCAAAAGAGAAAAGGAGCATGAAGGCAAGGCTCGGATGTACTCGCGCTGCTCCTGTCACATCTTCAAGCAAAGAATCCTCTTGCTATGTTGCTAGCAACACACTGTCGAGATTCTGCCGGTCTTTCGGCAAACCCAGAATCACCCAGAATCAAGACCAATACATGTTGACCATTCTCTTGCACAATGCATCGGAAGCCTGCAAATTCAGCTAAGACGCCAAGTTTGAGAATGGAAGCGGATCTTGTGATGTTTTTTGGACTCTTGGACATGTGGGAGTAGCAAACGACCCGTTCATTGAGCACACACAATTTAAACAAACACAACGCATGTTCATCGAGTCCTTCAGGAATGTTCCGAATCGAATCAGGAATCGGAAACGTTGTCTTTGAGGAACCGAACCGCCGCCGAAACGAATCGCTCGAATCGAACCGTGAATCGAAGTGGGATCGAAGGAATCGAAAACGAAGGAACCGAATCGCTGTCGAACCGTGTGCACGCGTGCGCCCTCCAAAGCCGATGGCTCCCCGCACCGCAGGAGACTGACCACCTGCGAGCAGGAAGATCGGCAACCGCGAACTTCTGCGAGTGTGGTCCATGACCCTTGCCACAAAACATCCGCGAATGGTTTGCCTGCTATTGGGCAGCTGTGTGTGCCCTGCAGAATGGCCAGAGTAAAAATCAACCAAATGGACCAATCTAGGCTGTTTTTTGGCGATGACCAATGAAAGTCCTGAAGGAGAGCCCGGGCTAAAAACAACCAAACGGACCAATCTAGGCTGTTTTTTGGGCGATGACCCATGAAAGTCCTGAAGGAGAGCCCGGGCTAAAAACA